ATGTTGCAATTGTTCATACTTTTGAAACATTGCTACGAGTATAAATTTGTTTACCCTTCTCGTACGTACAATATACGCATTTCATTTAATATTATTGAGAATTTTTTCCAATTTCACTTCATGTTCTAAAATAATAAGCAACATTTTATGCTTGTAATCGACGATCTGTGGACGTATCTTCTCTCATTCGTTACAGGCGTTTTTCGTTTATCGAGATGCGACACGTCCTCCGGAACGATCGATGGAATCTTGTTCCCCTCTGTTCCTTTCCTTTTTTTCTTCAGAAACAAATGGTCAATTTTATCGCGAACTTTTATCCCCGCGCGTGATATATGTATACGGACCCGTCCTATTTCTCTGTTTCCGTACTCTCTCCCACTTTGCCACTGATACATCCTTCTCCGCTTCAATCTCGTTTCACGGATGTCGGAATAGGTGTACATAGTATCCGCGATACAAGGTCCATTACGGCCACTCGAATGGAAACATCAACGGGCTATCTGTAGATTTACGTTTAGGTGAGACGGGGAGAAGAGATCCTGCCACCTACCCTCTACCATCTATCCTATAGATTCTTTCACGATCGTTCCTCGTGATGTTAATGAGATGCGATTTCTTTTTCAATTCATCTTATTCGGAATTCTATACCTTCAATCAACTACAGAAAAGAAACAAAATCCCAGATACTCAAATACATTCAAAATTTATATCAATGTCTTAGAGGAAAAGATAGATAAAAATTTTAATTGTTTGAACCTATTATTCGTATCTACTGTGATACTTTGTACATAGAGAAGCGTACACAGAATTTTAATCACATTATATATTATACTCTCAATAACGTTTCAATATATGTAAATTATATATATAAAAATTGTTTATCACATTCTCTGATATGTATTCGTTTCACTTTTACTTCCTAATTACCTTATATACACAAAAACAAACTCCGATATGATAAAGCAAATTTGGAATGGCGAAAATTTGAACCAATTTTCTGCTGTACAGTTCCGTGTTGAGTTTGGAAGCTTTTAATGAAATTAACAGCAATTCTCCACTTTTCATGATATCGCTGCACGACTATTTAATTTTTCCAATTCGCAAATTAACTTGAAACAATGCAGGCATACGCGTGGATACAAACAATATTCTTTCACAACTTCGCGCGGACTTTTCAATTAATTAAAACTTCATCTTGACCTACATGTTGGACAAAATATTAGAAATTGCTTGCTTGCTTTGGACCAATTAGTAATGGCAGTCGGTTCTTCAAATTCTCAATCGCAATTTTGCAATACGCAACCTTGTTTATTCAATTAATAAATTAACTCAGGCATCGAGCCCGATGTTTTATGAAGTTCATAGCTCTTTTCTTGTATTCTGAGTACAAAGTGTAGCAAAAAATATTCAAGTACGAATTTCACCGGTTGTTACGTCAATTACTTCCTTAATTTTAATAAATAGTGACGTATATAATTTATCGTTTACTTATTCTAAAGACGTAATTTTAGTGATATGTATACGTAATTCGAATTTATACTTACACCGAATACTTTATATTTCAATAAATAATGATATGCATGATATGCCTTTCACATGTTACGAAAGCGTATTTTGTTGCACTAAGATAAGGTGTATTACGATAAAAATAACGTAGCTATGACGCTACAAAGTGGAATCGAATTAAAATCCTGCTATATTGCAAGGGCTAAAAAATGTCAGCCTCTACCTTCACGTTCCCGTTTACTCTATATCTTAAGAAGGCGAAAGGATCCGGAACTTATCTCTTTCGTTTTCTTAATTCGTTTAGTGAGTCGTGCACCCTTCCCAAAGAAAGTCAACAATAATGTCATTCGCGAAATGAAATATCGATCGAAGATACCGTAATGAAACCTAAGTACATTCAAGATCACAGAGCCCAGCCCTTTTTGAAAATGTCTCTCGTCCTTAGAAAAGACGGGTGGCCCTCCTCCTGTACACAATAAGCTTAACGACTCGATATAACAACTTCCAATGTGGATTATAAAAATATTAAATCTTCTGTTTAATACCAACTAGTTAACCTACCGTGATATGTAAATTCACGGACCAATGTGATCCATGTAACGGGGATCCGCAGGACGATCGTCCAGAAACGATCGCGAACACGAATTCTCGTTTATACATTATTTTGGCCGGCGTTACTTCCTGTGAATAGTGTATGTACGTTTGTCTGTTTGTCTGTACTGTGCAGCGTGTCGATAAGAATATGGGATATTTATGGAAGGTCGATTTTAGGCAGAAGTTCAACTTAAAGATCTAATTTTAATAAAGATTATTTTTCCAGACGATTGATAAAAATCTAACGCCAGTTCGGCGTGAGAAATTACAATCAGTATGGAGTTATTTTGTAATACTTCCTCTGTATCTGCACGATTGCAAAGTAGAATTTTCAGAGAGATAACAAATATTTAGTTCTTAGAGTTCTTTAAACGTAATTCTACCCTTCATTTCTGTTCCATATTCGTGTTTAAGATTGAAACTTCAAAAATCTCCCATATACTTATCAACACCAAGCGTATATGCGAGTTTGCTGTATACGTATGATGTTTGTGTGTGAGTGCGTGTTATAGTGACGGTAGATGTGCTACCATGGAGCAAGACCCGTAATGCGGTCTTGCGCGCAGCCACGCGGAGGAACGGGTAGCAGGCATCGATGGATCATTCGGCTCTCTTACCGGGAGATCGATCGGCCTAAATACCACCGTCGGCGTACAATGTGCTCGAATTCGTTCGGGGTTCGCCGCCGAGAATCGAACGGACAGACGTTTCGACCCTTTGAGTAACGACCTGAACCTCGAATTTACTCACACCCCCGCAAACGTCTCTATCCCCACCGGGATTACGCGTGCTCGTGTGACTGATATCGAAGATCGCCTAGCCGTTTCTGATATTTCCTACGACCCCTGCGATCGGATCTCTCCGACTCCAACGACTCTCTTTCTCTCTCTCTCTCTCTCTCTCTCTCTCCGTTAATTTTCTACGCTCGCCTCGATCATCCCGTTACCATTTGCCGCGCGCGCCGCCCGGTGTTTAATCGATTTTCACGCCCGTTGATGATCTTCGGCCGGCGAGTTAATTGGCCGTCATGTACCAACACTTCGAGTGTCCAAAAGAATTGGCTATTGAACTACTATTCAATTAATAAAATATTGTTTATAAAAAATATGACAAGCGTGTACAAATCGTTTACGAGGAATCGATCCAGAATAAAGCATTTTATACAGCGCTTGAAGTGTTAATAGATGGAATCTGGTTTGAATGATTCCTAGCATTAGGTTTGAAATTGTTAAACGACGCTACGTAAAATAATTTTGACAGAATGAAAATAGATAGTTGAATAATATACTGTTTCTATTTGCGTTATACGTGTCCCAGATGTGTACGACTATTATTCGTGTGCGTTGAGTATATTGAAGGAATTATTCAATTAATTAATCCCTCATACTTTGCGGAAGAAGTTGTAGTTATTTCTGTTTTTTAATTACTAATAGGAACGTATAACACAATTCATTGTAATTATAAGTAATTATTTGTTTTGTCCCTGAGATTGGCTCATTTCAATGGTGTTATAGTCTTCGATAAAAAGAGGGGTGATGCTATAGTATGTGTAAAATCAATGTACATAGATACAACTTTAAGTACGTTACATAAATAAAAGTGATAGAGATTATAACTCTTATTCTTCTTCGAATGTTCTATTTTTTTCTCTTTTCAAACATTTTAATTCAAATTCAGTTTTATTCAAGCGTTCACAATAGACCTAAACAACCGTTCGGGTAGAATAAGTGACCGCGTTTAATGGCATATTTTCAGCGCGAGAACGAAATCTTTTCAGCAGGCATTGATCGTGAAAATCGGTCTACAATGGTAGTCCGCGTCGGGGGCGGCAATTCGAAGCAATTAGCACGCAAGGACGAGCGAGTGAAACGTGAATACGAGAGGGGACTCAGGATCCCCGATAATAATGAAGAGTCCTGAGGGGCCGAGGCATAAAGTGCATTAAATTGCATGCACTCGATTTAATGGCTTGACTCGTTGCCGCGAGCCTCTTCAACCCCCAACACTCGAGTTCGCGTGCTCGAGCATCCTTTCTGAAAGGGGCCGCAGGATTGTTACACTTTTTTAAGAAACCGTATCACGCATCATTTCTCTTTCTGTCTTTCTACGGTTAATTAAAAAGAATTTCGTTATTGCGCTAATCCAATACTGGTATATCTTGATATGTCAATAGTGAAATCACTTTCCTCTCTTTCACGTAAGAATTTTAAAGTTAAATAGAAAATCTGTCAAAAGCTGTTTGTAACTGATATAAATATTTGTTACCACTAAATTCGAGCACATTGGCGCCTTGTAAATTGCTAAACTAAACTCGTTTCATCACCAGTTTGTTAGCTGGCTGTCGATCTTACAGCTAATCGGTAAAATATAAAAGATACTCATCCTTATCAGTCCCCTCCGCGATGAGAATAGCCAATTGCTCTTGAAGTATCTTGTTCTCGAAGAGTTCTTCTACTGTTGGCCAAAATAAGGAAAACATTGACGACGATATACATAGATCTTCTTAAAAATTGTATCGTCTTGTCGAATTCGAATCACGAAGATGCATTCTTCCTTTTGTCCCGTTTCTTGATTCGCTACCTTGTCGAGCTCTTCGAAGTTGTTTTCTATCGCAGCCACAGAGCTGCCTAATTTGCCACGATTCCCCGGACGATGTTTTTGTTAATCTCGAGAAGAGGAAGTTTCTCACGTAATCCCAGTAGTTCCAGATTTTCGAGGTATTTCGCAGCAATTACAAGCTTCCTTTAATCGTATCAAGCACAGGAACCTTGATCTCTTTGTTAAGAAATTCTCTCGGGCCAGTTGAATCGCTTCGAAAACAAATTCGTTTCCACGTTTGATCTTCCCCGATGAGCCTCGTAATTTTCATTTTCAAACCTAAAATCGCAAAAGTTCAAAAGTTGCGTGCGAAGATTCCATCGAGTTCTACATCCTTGTATTATTCAGAATTTGCTCGACGATTTGAATGCATCATCCCATGACCTAGCGATTTTCATTTCCAAACTCGTGTAAGTTGCGTGTAAGGGTTCCATTGTGCTTAACATTTTCATACCATCGTCCAGGATTAGCTCGACTTCTTCGTGATCCTCATATCTAAATTCAATCAACACGAAGATTCAATCAACTACATCCTTTGCCTTTAACGTTCTCGTAAAATAAATCCTCTTCGTGAAACAGGGGTAGCTGGGATTCTGTCCGATAAATAAACACTGGTGGCTGCGCGTAAACCTCCGCATCGTGGCGATCGAACCACGTTACTACGACGGTTATTCCTCGGGCCAACCGAGGTCCTCGCCAACGAGCTCGTAGAATCGTTGGTTGTGCTCGTTGAAGAACCTCCTCAGCTTAGTGACTACTATAGGATTCACTCGGGGATGCCGCCTGCCTTTGCTTTCCTTCAGACACTTTTCCGAGGTTTCGTTGCGCAGACAGTAGAAACCCTTCGTATGATTGAAGTAGAAATTGTGCCTACCGATCCGCGGCTCTAAACCCAGAAAGTTCTCGATCCTTCTTAGCTGAGGCACCGGATCCTCGATCAGCTGATCACCGTTCACTATCAATATTTGCTCCCTGGAGAACACCTCCAGCCATCTGTGCATGTACGTGTGGTAGAGCGAAATCGCGACCGGCCTGTACGACTCGTTTATACTACCGTCTGGTCGTATCACTAGTTCCTCAAAGCTGCGCGCCGCTTGCTGCTGTTGTTGTAGCTGCTGCTGTTGCTGTTGCAGTAGCACGCTTCGCGGTGTACCGTTCGTCATGGTAGACGCAGTGGCGGCGTGCGTTCGCAGCTGAGTGTAGTCGGATATCGCTCTCGTCACCGGTTCGCGGACTATCAACAGCAACTTGACGCTCGCGTTCATTGCTCGTATCCTCTCAGGTACCTGGAGTTCAAGAGATCCTTCGTTTTTCCCATTGCTACGTAGCTTGTTAAAGTCGAAATCGTACACGTGTCACGATACGCGATTCGACGTCTCGAACTTATAAAACGGATAACATATTTCGATGTCATCTTTTACTTAATATCAGCTGTGGAAAGCTATGAGAAAGGGCGAGATAATTACATTTTTAAGACTATTTCAATTCCGAGGCTGTGTGTGAGATACGAATAAAAGGATAACGACTTCTTTTTAACGAGAATTGTTCGGGGAACACGGGCTACGCGTTTTATAAAAATTACCATCTAGTGAATGTAGTCTTAAGCTTCTAAATGATCGTGAAAATAAAAGTCCCTCGCCGCGAGCTATTTCAACGAGATTATCGGACTATGGTCGTATTTAAATAGATAGGTCAGAGAGATGGAATTTAATTCATTACGTACGAAACTACCTGGGCGTATCTTACAATTATTCAATAATACACACGTTTAGAAACATGATACAGTATCCTGTTCACGTGGATTCAAAAAGAACTAAAAAATTGGATCCTGTGACTCACCTCTGGCGTGACGAAGTAACTGGGACTCTTCTCGATGGTGATCTGGCCCCGGAACGAGTACGGCATTTTCCGCCGGTACCACTCGAGGCCCTTTACATAATTGTCGTCGCGGTCGAAGAAGTGAACTTCGCCTGCGGCTTTTTGGATCTGCGGGTGGAGAAAAAGCATCTCGAGGAGGGCCCGGGTGCCACACTTTCGTACACCGATGATGATCGCCTGAGGTAGATGTCGGCTGGTGCGCGGGAAGTGCACTTTGCTGGAGAAGAGCAACGGCGGGGTGGCGCGCACCTGGGATACGAGCTCGACGGTACGGCTCTCGACGGCGGTCGCAGCGTGCAGACTGTACACTGCGCTGTCGTAGAGAATGTGGAAGGTCAGGAAGAGGGAAAGGAGAACGACCGTGAGGAAGGCGGCGGCCATTTTCGGTCTAGATATGCCTACCACCAAGATGCAGTCTGTCGTATCGCCCTCGGCCGGCCTCATGGCGGAGCGGGGTATCCACCTGTAACAAAGACGGATTTATTACTGTGATAGACGTACGCAATTAATTTACACTACAAACATGAAATCAAATACAATAAAATAAAAATGCATATAACATATTTTAATCAAATTTAAATTTAATTAGACCCGTAAACAATTTCATAAACATACAATTTCCATAGAACGGAATTTCTCATTGAGTTCTGTCTCGTTCGAGTCTCGCCGAAAAGCATTACCAGATTACAGCGCGTCCCTTATTAATTCGTTGACACGCAACACAGTTGTTAACAGTCACGCGCCGGCCGCAATTTATTCTTTACATGCAGCGCGCGTATTATTAACACACCGTCGTACTTAACTGATCAGTACTCGCATACTGATAAGCACGCGTTACACGCTCCGATGGCGTGCGTTCGGCGACGACTTCATCGCTTGCGAAGAGACACGACGTGCCTCGGGACCTGCCATCAGCCTCGGATCAAAGGAGGAGTAACTGGGGATGGTTATAGCTTCATCCTTCAAGGGAAAGTCCCGGAGCGCAAATAAACTCGATGAAACGCAATTTTCGAGAAAATATTTGATGTTCTGAATCGAAGAGATGAAAACTATCGTGATTAAGACGCAAAACGAATCTCATTTTGTAAACCTTTTCTAAATTTATTTTATTTAATAAGAAATTGAAAAAATGAACATATAATTACGTCGTCTCAGACTCGAGTGATTGAAACTTGAAACGTACCGCGAATCATCGATTTTAAGCTTACCCTCGCGCTTCGCGAGGAGGAAGCCCAAAACTGCTTCGTAGACCAGAACCACGGGAAACTTCAAATCCAACCCTGACTTTCATCTCCGTGACTAAATGGTAACACACGTGCACACACTGGTTCCGCCAAGGCACGTTCAAGTATTTACCCAGGAGCGTAATTGAAACGCGATAAAATGAACGGAAGGAAAGTGAACGGGCGGTAGTGCGGTGGTGCGCTGTCACTGTTCTCGGGTCGCGTAACTTCGAATTCATTACGTTGTCGGCTGTGCTTGAATAACGGCATGTACGTACTACGTACATAGTACTACCTACGTAGTATACTCTCTGTACGCGTCACGGAGCAACCGCTGATAGAGTTGACTCCCGGAACGTTGAATTACCAGTTCACGTTTAAACTTTTCGACCGGGTTTCGGCAATCGCGATTTACCAGTGTTTCACGGAAGGAAGTATGAATGCATCGAATGGGCTCATCATATTTTATATTTCGAGCATGAAATCCGCTGTTCAAATAACTTTTTTCTAATTGCTTCTAAATTAAATTCATCTTAATTATTACTGTTCAGCGATTTGTGTTAAAAAATTCGTTATTCGTAACATTATGAATAGGTTCCATAAGAAATCGTAGAGACGGAATAAATTTCACAAAACTGCATTATTTCTTCAATAAAAGAAATATTATCAATTGTTTTAATAATTTTAATATTATAAATATACAACAAATATCTACAATTTTCAAATTGTCTACTAGCTTGTCAGGACGTCTGTTTTACTTTATAAATCTGTGCATAATACTAAAAATTGTATGCAATTAAAGATGCTCGCACGTTGTCCGAAGATTGTAATGCAATTAATATAAGAATCGATATCGTGGAATAGAAATCTTGACTGAGTGACGCGACGGGATTAATTACGGCGAATTGCATCTCGAACAGCAGCCAGGCGGGAGTTTATCGATACTGGTTGGGACGATAAATCAAGCAAGAGAGCCCGCATGTGAACCCGCGGGAACGCGGACAGATCTTTCGGTGGCGAACGGAGTGCGCTCACCAGATAAGAATAATCGCGTCGGAAACGTGGACGTCGTGCGATACTACCGCCTGTTAAAGTAAGATTAATTAATCATCCCGCATGCAATGAGCATGAAAAAATTGTGCTCGCGCACGTCCATCGCCTTTTCGTGTTTTGTCATTGCTTCCGTTCCGTTTGCGCTTGCACTATGTTCGTCCGATGTTTTTATGGTTTGTTAACTCCGCTCGAAGCTAAACACAATTTCAGGAGTCTCAGATTTTATTTGAATTTCAGTAGGAAGCAAATACCATTAAATTTTTGTACTGGATTCTTGGTTAATGTTCTTCATTTAAAAATCGCGCAATAGAAGACACACTATTCTTCGTGAAATTATAGACGTTCATAAATGAATTCGAATTCACGAGTAGACACATAATATTGCTTAATAATAAATGGAGAAACTGTTACGCGAGGAGGAAGAAATAGTTAACGGAACAAGTTTACCAGAACAGGTTACACTATATCAGAACTCAGAAAACGGTTAGTTTCGTTGCGTCTGCTAGAATCGATAAATCAGCCTGTGTATGTTGTTCCTGCCCCAGGGCAGACCAAGAACAAACCACGTATAATACCGCGTCGCATCGGGTACATCGTATCGGATAAGGATAGTCGTGTGAAAAACAATTCGCTGCGTGCTTTCTATCCTAAAATTGAGCCCTCTCAAGAGCTTTTACGATTACTGTACCTCGTAATTAAATGCTTATTTTCAGTTTTCCTATTGGTATATAACAGTTACATAAATAGTGCTTTGTGAAGAAACTCCGATGCTTACAGTACAACAGCATCTCCACACGGAAGCTCATACTCGTAGGTAGATAAGCAATGATTAAAGTTAATGACCGTTACATAAAATGCAGTTGGGTAATAGTGCCGTCTATTTAACAAGTTCTGAACGGGATATTGCAGTCGAATTGAATGATACTCGAGAAGCTCGCCGAGCGAAAAGCAAGGGATCTACCGATGGATGAGGAGGAAGCATTAACGCGCTGCTCGCGAGTGTTAATGCTAATGGAGAAGATGAAGAAAAAGGAAACGGCGTGTTGGAGAAGAAGTAGAAGAAGCCGAGGCATGAAGGTGCTCAGTTTCTAAATAAAGGCGCTTAATGAAGTCTCCGGCGAAGAAGGACATCGAAGCGAGAACGGGAACTTTCGATCCTACGCTGCAACGGGAATAAATCGGAATTTAAAAGCGATGAAACTTCCAACGGAAAGCTCTTAAGCTTAGAATAACTAACGAACGTTTAAAATCGAGTGGCTTTCAAGAGAGAGGACGGTGTTGCTTCGTCGTGTCGCGTCACTTTCTGGCGTTGTTCGTCATCGATTTCCTATGAAACCGGCGAGAACACAAATCCACTTTCAATAAATATGTTTCCCAAGATGTTGCACCTGTTTCGTCGGCACAAGCTATAAGTTTCGTTTCGTTACTGAATGAGATTCATATGCCAGCTCTATTTTGATTTTAACTTAAAAGACAGTTGTTAACGAAAGTAACGAATTACCTCAAACCGATAACTATTTGATTTTCTGAAACACTCTTTAAGTTGCACTTGGTAACTGAAAAGAAAAAACACTTCACGTCTTGGAAATCATTTGTGTCATTTGTTTGCAAATCGAAGGTGAAGGTTTATTACTTTCAGATGCAATGAAATAACAATGTCTCGTTTCCTATCTTATCTTTTCATAAAACTAACAAAAACAATTTTTGAAGACTGCTTGAAGTGTGAACGTTTATATTTGATTACTTATCTGTGTTTATTTTTTACTTCATCTTATCGTTCAATTCGCGACGTCTTATCATCAAACGTCTTATTATCAGATATTAATTGTCAATTTAACGTTACATAAGCGGAACGGGACGATCGGGAGATAGACATCCTCGCGAGAAATTCGAGTTTTGTCAATCGTTTTCTGGCTTGGAACGAACGGAAAGGGGAAGTTATCAGCCAGTTGGAAGGCAATTCGAGGCATCAAGCGGCATCGAAAAACCGCAGGACCGTTCTACCCTCTCTACCCTGGTTTCGATCAGTTGATTCTAGCGACCAAAGTCAAGGGAGAGGCAAAAGAGCGAAATGGTGGAAGGAGGGTGGCAGAGGGCGAGGTCGGCCTTTCGGCGCAATGCCAAATATTTATCTCGCATCGGCGGGATCTCTCTTTGGGAAACCATCGACCGTATTATCACGACAAATTGCAATTTCGGCGGGTTAACTTCCGCGCGAATGACCGAATGACGGATACGCCCGTCCCCGCTGCTTTTTCACGTATTATTCCGCGTCGCGTGTTACGCGCGTTGCTTCATTACGAACATGAACTCAACAAGGGTTCACTCATACATTCAATGGAATCCGACGGCACGTACGCGCGTTTTGAATTTTGGTTGAAATGCATGCGGATCTTTCCGCTTCATCTTCTGCATTCGGAATTTAAAGATTGGAATTTCGATTTAATAAAATAACTAAACGAGAATGAATTTAAAAAATAATAAAACTACATCGATTCTGTTTTTTTTTTTATCGTGCTGGGTTTCATGCGACGTATGAAAGAAAAAATGAGAAGGCATTTTTCATGGTAATTTACTTCGGAAATACTTTATTGAAAAATTATGCGATTTCCTAGAAGATTTTCGATTAACACGAAAATACTTTCCACTATCCGATCGTGAAATTATTTTACAAGAGGCCAGCTTTTCAGTTACACACCGTATACCGTCATTTTTCGTTGTAATTCGAGCCGAAATAGGGGCGGTTATGATATGCGCTATTTTCTAGCAACGTGGCTTGCGTCGCGTACACCGTTTCTACGTTTTAATTACATCCGGTCCTGCCTACCGGTTCGTGACTCCTCGCCATGTCCGTTGCGTTCAAATTGAAGACCTTATCTCGCGAATTGGTTCAATTAGAATCCGCGGAAAGCAACAATCAACCAGTCACGGACACTGAAGCCATACTTAAGAAGGAAATAAGAGAGGATTTTGACTCGTTTTATAATGTTAGAGAATTGTTATCTACAGAATATTTTATTCAAAGAAGTTTTTAAAATTTGTTTGATATTAAAAGAATACAATACGGCCGGTGAAATAAATTCCTATTCACAGTTTACTATTTCTGTTTACTTAAACATATTTCATTTGTATACAGTGCTGCCAGAATTCATGAGAAAAATATCAATCCGCGGTGAACGTGATCGTATAACGGCGAAATATGAACAATACGGACTCTGAAATTTAAATATAAAATATAAAAACAGAATCACTATTCTAAATCCTGTTGCATTAAGAATTTTTGTTCGTTCGACTCTTTTTTATCTTCAAATGTTTTTTTTTCTTATTTTAATCTGTAGGTACGCTTAAATATTTTAATTCGTTGTAATGCTCAACATTTTTTATGTTGACCGTTTCTCTTGTACGTATTGCAAGTTTAACGTAATATGATTTTTTAACTGGTTTCTGAAACAGTCGCTGGAATCACACATTTAACTAATCAAAGTAAAAACATTTAAAAATCGCACTTTATCCTTTTTTGCCAACCCAGTTTCCATCGTCGAGAGCGACGCGTTTCGTTTTGTAAAGCATTATTTTTATTTGAATACGACAAACTTTAATTAACACGTATTGCCAGGAACATACTGCGGAAGCGGATAACGATTCTGCACTTTCAGTAATTCAAACATGAATACATCTTGCATGTGACGTTCATCAATTTTAGTAAACGCGAATTACTATTTCATGCACATGTACATATCTTTATACAATTCTATTGCTCGATTTTAATAAATTATACAATAAGCAGTTACAGATAAGACTGATCTAACTTTGAATATTCTTGTATTTATTCATTCATGCATTATTATCAACAAATTATCTCGACCAGTCGATTCTCAATTTTTGACGAATTATTTTTCTGTTAAAAATGAGAATTACTTACAATACATCTATAGGGGACTGGGGAGACCACTCTCGACGAGGCCGTGCCTTGTTGGGCATTTGCGTTGATTTGTTTGTTCACATCCTTGACGATTCTGCAAAAACATAATAAAGAAGAAGATTAGATATATATATGTATAATACTTATTTCTATTATGTTTGTTCAATATTGAAATGTGTATAGAACAAATGAAAAAGGTTTAATGAATAAAGTATTTCGTTTTCGGTCACACTAGTTCGTCAATTTAATTAAAGTTTATCACAGTCATTTAACATTAACCGACACCGTTTACGCAGTTGACGATTAATTCTAGCATAGAATTAAAGCACGCTAACACGAAGGCTATTAGCAGAGAGCCAACGCGATATTTCGAACTCTAAACTTTAGCACCTGATAGTAAAGACTTCTAATACAGCAATTAAACCAGTGTTACTAGAGCGAGCACTAAGAACACAGTGACTCATCGCTTCGCTAGACAGTTTCGATAGCGGCGATAAGCAAAAAGAGTGAGGAAGAGTGGGAGAGGTGAGCGTCGATCAGCTGAGACGGTTGAAATTGACAGTAGGGCAATAACCTGCTCGCATCGCTCTCTCTCTCTCATTCTTACGCGCGATGACGCGCCTAGTTAGATTCGCAACAAAATAAAAGTGGAGAAACACGATAGTTTTTGAAAATAATAGAAATTCCAGTAGAACCCCGTCATTCGCAGTGATAAATTCCAGACTCTGTCGGGATAAAATGGTTCAGCAATAAGTGTAGCAGTGGTCAGTTGGCGCGTATTCTCAGCCTTTCAAGGGGAAACCACTTGGTTCAGCGCTACACGCCGGAATGAGAAAAGTTATAACGTTGCCGCCGCGTCTGCATCGTGAATTTTCATTTTCATTCCCAGTAACGCGAAGCTTATCCCAAATTGCTCTCGAAATCGTTTGATTTTTCATATCCGCGACGAAATTGCGTTCTCGTAAGGATCCTTCATTTGGATTGACGACACACAGACCGAAACGAAAAAAATTAAAGCGTTGCTGTGGGGGAGATCAATAAGTAATAAAAATTTTTAAAAAAAGAACACTGATATTTTTCTACGATAGCCTACGGGGTTTCATGGGACACACGAGCCGATTTTCATGAACCCAGTTCAATCTTTCTATCGAAACGCTGACTGAAAAATTGTCTACTTGAATCCTCATTCATATATGCGCATCACCATAGACTATTTGCTCTTCAATAATACTTTAGTAAATAGTAGTTCTTTCATCGATTACTATTCATGAACAGAAGTCGCCAAAATTAGCCTTAATTTCTCGTGTCGGTATAGCCATCAAACGTGACACACAAAAGCCCGTAAAGTGATGGGTTTATTGGTGTATATCGTCTGTGGTTACTGGTTATATAAATTGGCAGGCCGATTAGAAAGCGGCAGCAAGTTATTTCTATCCGGATCCAAAACGGATTCACCGGAAACTGACGGCCGGAAGGGTAAATCCGTTGGCTTAAGACGGCGTTAAACGATGGTCATGACAGCGTTGGTTTGCAAACAACGGTAACGATGATCGATAACGAGAGCAAACAGCACTCGCCGATACATGTATTACTGCGGAGAAACACCGCACGTTGGAAACTCTTTCTTACGAAACTATTCTACCGGATTCTCTGTTTGCTGTGTCGCCAGCGCGACCTCGTTGCCATTTGTTTGCTCACACACTGAAGCTTAAATGCTGCCGATATGCAAACTCGAAAATCTTCGAGGTTTCGTGCAGTTTTGCGGAAACCAAAAGGATAATGCGGCTAGGAAGATATTCACTTCTGAATGAAACTTACATCGTTACTACATAGACGAAATAATGACAGATATGTAAAAATTTGCACGATATTTAAAGATCGCTAGTATAGTAAATTAACAAAAATCATATGTGTTTTTAATCATTTTTATACTTGAATTGCATTATTTGAATATCTGTTAATTTTACTTTGTGTAATAACTTGGTACACCCTTGGAAGTGTTCTTTTGTTGCTAAATTCCCTAATACCCTTTAACAATAGATAATCTCAAGCAATTCAACTCAAGGGAGCAAGGAGAGGTGCAAAAAGGGTGGTTGACGGTACACACGTAGTGAATACAACAAGACCGCAACTCACCGCTGTCCGCGTATTCGAGAATTAATTTCGCGCGTATAAATAAGCTCGTAACAAGCAAGCGGTAATGCCAGGCTTCCAATTAAAATGCTTCCATTTCGAAACGTTGCGTTGAACGCTAACGAGCTAAAGGCTGAAGCGGAAACCGTTCAATTATGCAAATTCCCTCGCTGGATGGTGTATTCACCTTTTCTCAAACGCGAGACGCGCCTCTAAACCTTTTCATCTTCAGCCTTTTCTCGAGATGTTACATTTACTTACGAGAAAAAAAAAAACAAGAATTTGTGAAAATATCTAAATACACCTGGCTGTTATCTAATTAATGTCAACCATGAGAAGTTCGTAATTTTCATCAATTTTCTAATCTAATTCTTAAATATCTCGGTCTCCCAACGAACAATTTCTTAAATTATTGAGAAGCCTTCAAAGTTAGGAAATTTTCATTGATAAAGCCGATAATATCGTCCTCGAACTTTTAAGAGAACCTATTCTGTATCTTTTAGAAAGAAACTAACGATAATGAAATTACTTAATCGCAAGACCTGGTACTTTTTGGTAGAAAAGCTTGACGGCCTCTGCGAAGACGGATGAGCCCTCGGGAAACAATTTTAGCTCGAGGTTAAACTGATCTCCCGCGCGCGAAAAATTTTTCGCGGATGTAATTCGTTATCCGTGCTCGTTCCTCTCGCGATGCTTTCAACGATATCGTTCGCAAAAAGTTGAAAGGGAACAGAGATGAGAGGAACGGGAAATTATTCCTCTCCAATATGAATTTATGAATACATTTAAGCGCATTAATAAGTAGTCTAACACTTCAATAAAAATAGCATTTAATCTATTAATAAATTAATTTAAATTCAAAGATTTTTAACGAGATTAAGTAGTAAATCGCTTGAGGTAATTTAAATTGCTATAAAACCACCTTCTTAGAGAAAAATAGAGTATTTGCAAGGAGACTTTGCATTTTCTGTCATAGCAGTTCTTCAGAAACAAAAGGAACTCACGAAGAGGCGAAATCGATACATCGAACAAGCGGAGAAGGTTTAATGATGCTAACGGTGGAAGGATGGCGAGCGTGTGGGTGTCTAGAAGCGATGGTAACACACGATATTCTTCCGGTTGCATAACCGAACGGTTCTTACAAGGCTACGGTGCACGGTTCGTCCCGGACGCCCGTGATCCTTGAAGACATGCAACAAGAGAGAGAACACGCAACGCTGGCCGCACGGGAGGGGTTTTTTTTGTTTCGCGATCCATCGACTTCCTCGGGAAAGATGATTACGGGCCTTTCTTTCGATCCTCGGGCAATTTGCGTTTGCGACGATCCGCATACCGATCGCGTGGAACTCGAACGTTTCCCGTATTCGAGGAACGCTTTTTGGGTTGGACGTTTTTACGACAAACGTTCGCGGGAAAAATTGTAAAGACGTTCTTCAACACTCTCGCATGTATTTTGTTAACATTAATATATAATAATTTTCTTATTCCGCTTAAAATACATTCACGACTTCATAACAATTATATCTCTCGATATTAAATTTTAATGAAATGTTCCGTTTCATTGGACAAAACCCAATATCGATATGGATCGCATTAAAACGCGCCATGGGTAATTCGAATCACGAAGACTATTCGAAAACTGCAACCAGCAAAACCGCATTGGTTTCACAACGAAAGTTGCTTTCTACGCCGCGGGATGCGAAACCAAGGAGAGTTTAGGTCGAAGAGAACGATGGGGCGGATGTTCGATCGTTTTCCACGGGCTTGAATAGCTACTTTTAAGGGCTTTGCGTTCGATGTGCACCGAGCACGCGAAAATTGTGGAAAACTTTTGCTATCCGCGGTCGATCTACGCCGATCGATAATTTCGAAGAAACTTCGGACCGTGTTACATACCTGAATGTCTATGCAAACTTTCTAAAATATAACTTCTTACTTATTCCTTTCACTCGCATTGAGTCATATTTTTTTGTGATAATTGTATGAAAT